GGAATGAGTCCCACTTGATCTTGGTGGATGATTCTTTTTATGTGCTGCTGAATTCGATTTGCAAGGGTCTTGTTGAGGATTTTTGCATCCATATTCATCAAGGATATTGGTCTGTCGTTCTCTTTTTTTGCTGATTCTCTGTCTGGCTTGGGAATCAGAGTGATGCTGGCTTCATAAAACAAGTCTGGGAGTTTACCTTCGATTTCTATTTTTTGGAATAGCTTGAGAAGAATTGGGATTAATTCTGTTTTAAATGTTTGGTAGTATTCCCCAGGGAAGCCGTCAGGTCCAGGGCTCTTATTTGTTGGGAGATTTTTGATCACTGATTCAGTTTCTTCACTCGTTATGGGTTGTTCAGGTTTTCTATTTCTTCCTGTGTGAATTTTGGTAGTGAATGTGTGTTTAGGAATTTGTCCATTTCTTCTAAGTTGTCCAATTTGTTGGCATATGATTTTTCATAGTGTTCCCTGATAATTGCTTGTATTTCTGAGGGATTGGTTGTAATAAGTCCATTTTCATTCATGATTTTGTCTATTTGAGTGCTCTCTCTTTTCTTTTTGAGAAACCTGGCTAGATGTTTGTCAATTTTGTTTACTTTTTCAAAAAACCAACTCTTGGTTTCATAGATCTGTTCAATTGTTTCTTTGGTCTCTAAGTTGTTTATTTCTGCCCTAATTTTTACTATTTCTCTTCTTCTACTGGGTTTAGGGCGTTCTTGTTGCTCTGACTCTAGTTCCTTTCCGTGAGCTGTTAGATTTTGGACTTGCGCTTTTTCTAATCTCTTGTAATAGGCCTGGAGAGCAATGTACTTTCCTCTTAGGACTGCTTTTGCCGCATCCCATAGAGTTTGAATTGTTGTGTTTTCATTTACATTTGTTTCCATATATTTTTAAATATCATCTCTAACTGCCTGATTGGCCCATTCATTCTTTAGTAGGGTGGTTTTTAACCTCCATGTTTTTGGAGGTTTTCCAGACTTCTTCTTGTGAATGATTTCAAGTTTCAGAGCATTATGATCTGACAGTGTGCATGGTATGATCTCAATTCTTTTATATTTATTGAGGGCTGCTTTAAGTCCCAGTAAGTGATCTATCTTGGAGACTGTGCCATGCGCACTTGAAAAGAAAGTGAATTCCCTGGCCTCAGGATGTAAAGTTCTAAATATATCTGTCTGATCCATATAGTTCAATGTGTCTTTCAAGTCCATTATTTCTTTAGTGATTTTCTGTCTGCTTGACCTATCCTTGCTGTAAGCGTAGTATTAAAGTCCCCTGCTATTAGCACATTCTTATCTATAAGCTTGTTTCTGTTTGTGATTGTTTTAGATATTTAGGTGCTCCCATATTCGGTGCGTAGACATTTATGATTGTTAGTTCTTCCTGATGGATGGACCCTGTAATTATTATGTAGTGCCCTTCTTCATCTCTTGTGATTGTCTTTAATTTAAAGTCCAGTTTGTCTGATATAAGTATAGCTACTCTGGCTTTCTTTTGATTTCCTCTAGCATGATATATATTTCTCCATCACCTTACTTTAATCTGAAGGTGACTTCCAGTCTAAAATGAGTTTCTTGTAGACAGCATCTAGATGCATTTTGTTTTTTTATCCATTCTGCTAACCTATGTCTTTTGATTGAAGCATTCAGCTCATTTACATTCAGTGTTATTATTGAAATATGTGGGTTTAGAGTCGTCGTGTCCTTTGTGGGGTTCATGCTTGTGGTGGTTCCTTGTAACATTTCCCTCAGAGTGTCCCACTCAGGATTTCTTGTAGGGCTGGCTTAGTGGTGACAAATTCTTTCCATTTCTGTTTATTTGGAAAGACTTTTCTGTCTCCTTCTATTTTGAATGACAGGCTTGCTGGATAGAGGATTCTTGGCTGCATATTTTTACTGTTTATCACATTGAAGATCTCCTGCCATTCATTTCAAGCCTGCCAAGTTTCAGTAGATAGGTCTGTCATCACTCTGAATGGTTTCCCTTTGTATGTTAGGGCCCATTTCTCCCTAGCTGCTTTCAGAATTCTCTCTTTGTCCTTGTATTTTGCCATTTTTACTATGATATGCCGTGCAGAAGATCGATTCAAGTTACGCCTGAGGGGAGTCCTCTGAGCCTCTTGTATTTCCACATTTACTTCCTTCCCCAGGTCGGGGAAGTTCTCTGGTATAATTTGTTCCAGGACTCCTTCAGCACCTTTCCCTCTCTCTTCCTCTTCTGGGATTCCTATGATACCGATATTGTTGCGTTTGACCGTATCGCTGAGCACTCGAACTCCTCTTTCCTGTTCCTGGATCAGTTTGTCTCTTCTTTTGTCAGCTTCTTGTTTTTCTATAATGGTGTCTTCTAGATCACTTATTCTCCTTTCTGCCTCTTCAAGCCGTGCATTGGAGGCCTCTAATTTATTATGGATCTCATTTATCGCATTTTTTAATTCTTCATGCCTATTTTTATTTTCCATTCTGTCTTTAGCCATAGTTTCTTTGATGTCCCCTATGTTTTTTTCAAGCCCAGCTATTAATTTTACCATTATTATTCTAAAATCTTGTTCAGTTATGCTGCTTATATCTGTTTTGAGCAGTTCATTAGCTGTCATTTCTTCTTGGAGTTTCTTTGGAGGAGAGGTCTTTCGTTTCGTCATTTTAGTTAGCTTTCCGGCTCTTGTTGGTTTAAAGACCTGTTATGCTCTCTGTATCTATGAACGCTGCTATATCCAAGAAGACTCTTTGACTGTCCAGGGCCTATCCTTTCAGAGAGTGTTTTTTGAATGGTATCTCTTGGTCTCTCTTGTTGGGACCTTGGTTATTTTATTTTCCTATTCGTAGTGATATTTGGGACTCTCCACCTTGTGTACTCTGGCTAGTTTCTTGAGGTAGCCCAGGAAAAGAAAAAAGACAGACAAACACACAGGGAGCAGGAGCACACAAACGCACAGGCTAATTCAGCTAACATGCAAAGCGAGTGGGAAAACGACAAAGTTAAGAGAAAAGATGGAGGAGGGAGGGCGAATAATAGGGAGTATAAAATACATAAAAGGGTCAAAAAGGAGAAAAGAAAAGGAAAAAAAGAACAAAACCGGTGGACAAAGAACGGTTTAAAGCATTTAACCAGATTTCCCAGCTATAGTTAAATAGCCATGTGTATGCAGTGCTGGTTGAAGAGCATAAAGAAAGAGAGAGAAGACAGGGTGGGGATGAGGCAAAATTGGAAATAGAATGAACAGGCACAAGGGATAAGAAGCTTTTTTCAAATAGCTGGACTATGGTTGGATAGGTGAGAGAAGGATGCTGGTGGTATCCAGAGAAACTATATAGTCTAATTACTCCTGAGAGAAAGAGATGAAAATGTTGGTCGGTATAGAATTTACATCTACAGAATGGACTAAATGTGATTGTTTCAGCAAGCCGGTGACCAGAGTTAATCAGGTCAGTGTTTTGGGGAAAAAAGAAAGAAAAGAAAAAAAAAAAAGAAAAAGAAGGAAAAAAAAAAGGGAGGAGAGCAGTTCTCAAGCAGGGATGGGTGTGGTGTGATCCAATGTGTCAGGCAGGATTTCTGCCTTGAGGGTTGTGGGGAGGAGAGTGACGGTGCTCCAGTCCCTTCTTGAACCAAGCGCTGCACCTCGCTTTTTGGGCGTGTAAACTCCCCGTACCGGGGGCACAGCCAAAGTTGGTTACACTCTTCAACCCAGGCCAGTCACAGTCTCCAAATCCCAGTCTGAACTTCCTGCTGAAATTAGACACAACTTCCCAGACAATCCCCTTGGGGCAATTCCAGGCCTCCTGCCTAGCTCTGGGGGTGGAGTCAGAATTGCTGCTTCCTTCTATGGGTCGGGCTGGCAAGCATGGGTGGGGGCTTGCCTGCCAGGTGCACGGAGCCCACTGGAGTGAGGAAAACCAGGTCCCTCTATGGCTCATCACCCGAAACACGTACTCGTGGGCAAATCTGCCAGTTTTTATCTCTTTGCCTTCCCTCTAGAGTTCCATTGAGCCATGAGCGCGGATACCCGGTGCCTGTGCGCGGCTATTCCAGGGGCCCAAGCTAACCGGGAGGACAATGGCGGCAGGTGCGCCGCTATTTTAGAAGTCCTGCCTGCCAAGATAAGCACAAAGAAGCAGTCCGCGAGCTCACCTCCTCTGGGACCAGTTGGCGCTAGGGGTCCTGGGGTGCAGGTATTTGGCACTCACAGTGTTTCTATGCCCCGAGCGGAGGTTTTTCCCTGTGTGGAGGTTTTTCTATTTCGGACTCTTTTTCCCCCTCTCATTCCCCGCAGAGAATTCCCCCATCCATCGCCTCCGACCCTGGAGTCTCCGATCCCAGCCCGATTTTATCTCCCCCAATTCGCACTCACGTTAGAAGGATTTCTCAGTGGATTCTGCATCTTTTTTCTCCCAATCTCTCGGGTTTCGTAAGGTTTCTGATGTCTTCAAATCTTTTCCGTGTGAGGTATGGGCGTGAGTGCAAGTATGCAGCTTCCTACTTCTCCACCATCTTGCCGGAATCTCCAAAGAAAACTTTCATCATGCATAGAAAATTAGTTAGAAAGCAGGAAAAGTACACATTTGGAAACTAAAGAGATTATTGCAGTAATTCACCAAAGAAATTCTTATGACATTCTAGAGTGATTAAAAAGGAAATAATGAGGAGAAGAATTATGATATAATTTGGGTCTAGAATAAAAAGAAGTTGTTACAGATAGAATGAATATAGGGGATGAGAAGTACACTTCCAGTAGAAGGACAAAACACTATCTTAAGTGTAATTTATTGCTTTTATCAGAGATGACATTATTTTCATTTTTTGTTAACTGGGATAGAGACCCCAGAAAATGTACTTCCTGTTTCTTGTTTTATGTCCTTTCTCAGTATCCAGTTTGAATAAAATAAATCTGATGATAAAACAAGAAAAATATATTGCTTATTTGTGGCTAATACTAGGTTTTCTAAACTCACCTTTAATCTTTTATCCAAGACATTTCTCAGATATGTTTTCTACAATATATGACTATTATATATGCTTCTGACATAATCTTGCTAAAAGTCTCACTCTAATTTTCTTAGTTTTCACACAGTACACAATGGGATTCATCGTAGGAGGCACAAGTAAAAGAACATTTGCCATGAGAACATTGAAGAGAGGTGAGACATGTCGGACAAAGCGATGGACAATGGAAAGGTTGATGGTGGGCAGATAGAAGACGATCACTGCACAGATGTGTGAAATACAAGTATTGAGGGCCTTGAGCTGCTCCTTTCGGGATGCAATTCCCAACACAGTCTTGAGGATCAGGCCGTAAGACACAGCAATGAGCATAAAGTCTACCATAAGACACAGTGCGCCAAAAAAGCCATAGATGACGTCAATTCGGTTGTCAGAGCAGGTCAACTTCATGACATCCTGGTGGAGACAGTAGGAATGAGATAGTTGGCTTTTATTACAATATTTCAAACTTCTCAAAGTCAATGGGAAGGGCAGCACTAGGAGGACACCCTTAACAGATATCACTATTCCTATTTTGACAACTCTGATAGGAGTAAGAATGGAGCTGTATCTTAGAGGACTGTGGATGGCTAGGAAGGGTCAAATGACATGATCAGGAGCACTGAGGATTCCACTGCTGTGAAACCATGGATGAAGAATTCCTGGGCAAAACAGGCATTGGCAGAAATTTCAGGGGCATTGAATAAGAAGATCCTCCACGTGGTGGGTAGAGAAGAGAAGTACAAGCCCATGTCAGACATGGCCAACATAGAAAGGAAGTAGTACATGGGTTCATGCAGGGAAGGCTCTGTCTTTGTGACCAAAAGAATGGTGCAGTTTCCCAGAAGAGCAAAAAGATACATGCTGCAGATGGGGACAGAGATCCAGATGTGTGCATATTCCAGCCCTGGCATCCCAACCAAGAAGAAGGTGGTGATTTCAACATCTGATGTATTAATAATGGACATCATACATTTAAAGCGTTCTGCAATGAAACAGAGATTCTTGAGTTGATAAAATATGAATATCTGGAAATTTGCTAGAAAAAAATGCAGTTGTTGAAGTTTCTGACTCTTTTAGCAGAATAAAATATTTATGTGACTATTATATAGTGAGAAGTGGATGCCAATTTAGATCTACTTATAGAATAGATGAAGAAAATTTCTTTTGGCCATATTTTTCCCATAGCGAAACTAGAAATTGATTTTGTATTCATATAAGAATCTAATTTCATTTTCTATTTAAAACATTAGTAAACTCTAGGCAATCAACGTGGAATTCTCTATTTCTTGGTTTCACATTCCAGATAAGATATTGGGTAAAATATATGACTTCTAAAATGACACTATGAAGGTAAAGGAATCTCACAACTCAGTATCTTCCTACCCCTTGGAAATACCACAAAAATATTCTTTCACAAACTATCCTTAGTTCTGTTCCCTGCCATCTGAAAATTGTTGGTTATTTAAAAATCCTTTTAAAAATCCCACTATTTTCAAATCCTGAAATACTTGTAAGGGCAGTCACACTGCAGAGATTACTGACATATTATGTCTCATGTTTTCCTGACCTGGAATTTGTGACCACTTGTGTAGTATTAACAGAAGAATGATAATAACAAAATAGTATCACAATTTAGGAGAATCTGAATTCTGTTGAAGTATGATTTCCTGTTTACATAGTCTCTGAACATTTTCCTTGAGATATGGCCTCTGGAGGCTTCTTCCTTTTTATATGAAGTTGTACATGGTTGATTACCAAAAAAGAGGGTAAAAATAAAATAGATGAGGATATCTGAGTACTTACCAGAGAGCAGACATTTTGGAGAGCACTTCTGAGAGTAGCTGAAGTATTTCAGCAAAGTTCCAGAAGTTACCAAAGCCACTTCCTTATATATAAAGACTTGCCTCTTTTTTTTTCCTTTCTCAGTCTTGTACCTGCCCAAGGGGCAGCAAACCTTTGGGGGATTCCAACCAGGATATATCTGTTCTGAGACTAAGAATAAACATGTGCAGATGCAATAAATCCAGAGATGGTTAATACCAAAAAAGTGAAATAAGTATCTAGACTTTGAATTAGGGACCATTTTGGTTGGCGAGAAGTCCTTAAGAACCAGGAGTGGTAAAGACCTGGTAAATCCTGTACAAAGTCTCTGACACTTCCATTGGGTATTTGGCTCAGATATTACTCCTATGTGTTGAACATGGTCAAAACAGAAATGCTGTGTGTTGAATCAGTGCAATCAAGGAAGTGATGGAGGACAAATATCTTATGATATATATTTTTAGCCTTCTGGTTAACTCCGGAGGCCTGTATCCATCCTTCCAGATACTTACTGCTAGACATTACTAACTAAATATCCCTTAAAATCAACTTGTACAATAGACTTCATTGTCTCCTTTTCCAATTCTGATCTCTTCTTAGGGAGCTATCTCTATAATAAGACCTTATTCTTAATATTTAAAAAACCCTAAATCCTGAGCCCTTTAACCTCTTTTTGCTCACATTTTGTTCATAGCAATAGCCAACCTTTGTTGAGAATTTAAATTGTTCCAGTTACTGAGATTAATTCATTATTGATGAGGATTTTGAGTCCTTGAGTCTTTTTTTTAAATGTTTATTAATTTTTGAGACAGAGAGAGAGACAGAGCAGGAGCAGGGGAAGGACAGAGAGAGAGGGAGACATAGAATTCAAAGCAGGCTCCATGCTCTGAGCCATCAGCACAGAACCTGATGCAAGCTGCAAACCCAAAAATCTCAAGATCATGACCTGAGTGGAAGTCCGAAGCCCAACCAATTGAGCCGTTTAGGCACCCCCTTGAGTCTTTTAAATAATGACAAGTACGCTTATTATCTTCATTTTACTGATGAAGAAAATGTTTCTCAAGGAGGACAAGTAGCCTCTCAAAGATATTGTACAGTAAAAGTAAGGTATGCAACAAAGAAAATACTTTTTAAGGATACCAGAGAAGATTCTCTTGAAGGAAAAAATATGTTTATATATATACTCACCTCCATTAATACAGAGCCTTGGATGAGAGCTAATATTGAGTAGATCAAATAGAGGAAGTATAACAAAATATTTCTATAACCCTCTACAATAATCTTTTTTTAAGTTTATGATAGTTACTTTATTTTACACAGGTCCTATTGTTTTCATCCTCTTCAGAAATAAGTTCCCTTGGCTATACTGTCAGGAATTCTCCATCTTCAACTCTTGCTGTATCTCTGAACTTTCCAATTCCTTCTCATAAAGGAGATGACAGAATATATCTGAGTTTTTTATTATTATTGTGTGTATCATAGTTGCAACGATGGTGTTATGTTTTTATTGGCTTATTGCCCAACTTTGGAGACCAATTCCATTTGTTCTATGATGATAGTAATAAGCTACAACAGGGAAATTATCACATCTATTATTGTTATTTTGATATGTCCGGTCCCTGGCATGTTTAAAGGCATGTGGTAGTTTAGTAAATGTTTATTGAATCAATTAATGAATGAATTGCATTGTAAAACATGGCATTTTAAATCATATACTGTTTTTAACTTTATTGTCTTTAGTATCTTTCCCATTTGGTTATGCTTGTTATGGAGTAAAAGAACAGATTTTGATAAATCTAACATCTGTTCATATGGATTTTTATTGTGTAATCTGGCATTATTTATATTTTTGCACACATAATTTATATAATCTTATTTTGAAAGTTTTATTTGCATATAGCACATATTTCAAATATAGAATATTATTACACAATAGGATGAATTACATATATATAATAATTATTAACATTGGATCATATAAATTTGAAGCATGTTTTAATAATAAAAAGACTACATATTAATGGAAGTTTTTCTTGGCCATATGCACCAAATGTTAATAAAAATATGCATGTCAAACAGACGGGACAGTTTAAGCAATCCCTCAATGGAAACATATAGGTAAAGTTGACTTATTAGGAAAGAAGAGTTGAAAACAAAGACATAACTTCAGTTATATTCAGGAAGGGAGTTTTCATGGCTCTTGGATAGGTGCTGTCAGTTAAGATAACATACACCTGGCTGCCTGTCTCTATTCTCAAGCATAAGATTCCATAGATGCCTTTATTTTTCCCTAACGATTCACAATTATTACTAAGTACACAGCTTTGTAATCACTAGTGTAATGATGTTTGTATTTCTGGGAACTACCCATAAAATCCCTATAGGCCATCATGTGAGCTCATTTGTCATATATGTTTTAACAGTCATTTTCCTTAAATGGTCTTGACATGATTATTTCATACTGATGTCATTCTGCCAACTTTGGCAGGCATAGTAGACATCTACTGGGTTTGTTTGCTGTTATTTTCATTTATGTGTTTTTGTTTGGTTTATTCCAGTCCATTTCAGCAACTTTCCTAAAAAGAGAAATCCTTACTTTATGTATTGCAATCACAATGTTTGAGGTAGTGGCACATGACTAATTTTGCCATTGGCATTAAACTCATCTCCTCGGATATAGTGTCCATTCTCTTTAGGATATTAAGGAAGTGATATTCAATCCTTTCCCTAAATCTCTAAGTGGAACTGATAGTGACAGTTCTTTCTTCTCTATTAGATAAGATGTTAGAAATGTCCACTGCCAGTTTATCCAGCTTGCAACCACCTACCATACCATGTGGATTAGCTTCATTTGGAATACTGACACAGTAAAAAAGACAGGTGAAGACAGAGTTAGTGGTGCTAATGACCTCTTTCTGGCACTGAAGTATGCTGTAGTCAGCACCCCCCTCCCGCCTGCAGATTCCTATAACTTTTACTCCGTATCTGTGAGCCATTGTAATATCTAAGAATGTTTTGTTTTTGCGATATCTGGTTTGTTGTCACTTGTACTGGAGTGTGTACTCCACTAAAGCAAGCTTTTTGATTTTCAGAGTTGAGTGTGCATTAATGATATTAGTTTGTATTAGAATGAGGAATTCACCAGTGAGATGAGATCCTAGTGGTCTAATAGTGAGATCCTATAGATCTAATGAGATATTATATATATTTGATATTACTCCATTGTAAAAATTAAATATTTAAAAAATAGTTTATTGTCAAGTTGGTTTCCATGTAACACCCAGTGCTCATCCCCACAAGTGCCCTCCTTCATGCCCATCACCCCCCACACCCATCAGTTCTCAGTTTGTCCTCAGCATTCAAGAGTCTCTCATGGTTTGCCTCTCTCCCTCTCCCCCACTATTTCTCCCCTTCTTCTCCCTCTTGTTCCTCTTTTAATTTCCTCCTAATCCTCCTATACGTGTAAACATATGTTATTTGTCCTTCTCTGCCTGACTTATTTTGCTCAGCATAACTCCCTCAAGTTCCATCCATGTTGCTACACAAGGCCAGATTTCATTCTTTCTCATTGCCATGTAGTATTCCATCGTATAGATAAACCATATCTTCTTGATCCATTCGTCCGTTGATGGACATTTAGGCTCTTTCCATGTTTTGGCTATTGTTGAGATGTGCTCCTATAAAAATTAAAGATTTTTAAGAATTTTGTTTTGGGGGTAGAAAGAGAGAGAGGGAGAGAAAATTTAAGCGGGCTCTACATTCAGCACAGAGCTGGACACTGGGGACTCCATCCACAACCCTGGAACCATGACCTGAGCCAAAATTAAGAGTCAGACGCTCAACTGAATGAGTCACCCAGGTGCCCCTTAAAAATTAAATTGTAAAAAAAGTGCTCATCAAGATATGTGTGCTCTTAACCCCTTTTACCTATTTCACCCATTACCTCTTCCTCTGGTAATGACCTGTTTGTTCTGTGTATTTAAGAGTCTGGGTTTGTTTTTTGTCTCCTTTTTTATGTTTGGTCATTTTTTTTGTTTCATAAATTCCACATATGAATGTTTGTCTTTATCTGACTGACTTTTTATTTCACTTAGCATTACATCTTGCTGCAGATAACAAGATCTCATTCTTTTTATAGCTGAGTAAT